GGTGACCTGGACCAGGGGGAAGCAGAGGGGGTGGTGATAAGCGGTCAGATCCTGGATCTCTTTTGAAGACTGAGCCAACACGGTTTGCGGACAGATTGGATGTAGGCGGTGAGAGGAGGAGAGGAGCCGGGGCTGGGCCAGGACCAGAGCCTGCCTGTAGGGCGGGCCAAGGCTGGGCCGCAGGGGTGGTGGAGTAGACCACCTGCAGGGCGGGGGAGAAGGCTCCCAGGAAAGGCACACCTGCCCGGTTCCACTCCCCACGGGCGCTTCGGTTTCCTTGGACATGGCCCTGCCACGCAGCCATCCGCGGTCACCACGGGCTCCAGGCTGGTTTGGGAGGGGAGGGAGGGCCCTCGGGGGGGCGAGGAAGGAAAAGCTGCTTCGCAGAGGAAGGACGGACGCAGTATGGGGAACTGTTCGCGTGGTTCTGTCTCCTTCATGAAGGCCAGGGAAGGGGAACGTAGGCTTTGGTGAGAAATTTTTATAAAATCCGGTCTGCAGAGGACGCAGCTGATAGAAACTGCTCAGAACAGAAAGAAAGAAGAAATGTTAGTTTTTCACAAGTTAATGGCCCAGAGGGAAAACCAGCAGTGAAAGGAATGACTGCAGAATGTTCATTCATTTGTTCAGTGGATTCCTTATTAAGCACTTGTTCACTGCTCTCAGCTACCCTACTTTTGTCCCTCTCTGATCTGTTCCCTGCTACAGCCTGAGGGATCTTCCCTGAGTGTCAGTGACTTTCTCATTATTCTTAGGATTAAAAACAAAAACCCTTCAAATGATCCACAGGGCCCTGGCTGGTCTAGCCTCTGCCCACCTTTCCAGCCTCATTCCATTCCTCCGTCCTTCTCCCTCTGGACTCCAGCCACCCGGCCCCTTTCTCACACCCATGAACATACCAGTTGCCCTTCACCACAGGGCCTTTGCACGAGCTGTTCCTCCTGTCTGAAATGATCCCCGAGCCTTTGCTTGATCAGTCTGTGTTTCAGATCTCAGCTGAAGCGTGGCCTCGTCAGTGAGGCCTCCTCTGACACACATTCCCAGCTCCAGTCATCTTGTCATAGGCCCATGCTCCTCTCCTTTCCAATATGAATTTGAAATTGTGCATTCTTTACGTGAAGACCTCATTAACATCTGTGTCTCTCAGTAGGCAGTCAGCACTGTGAGAGCCTGGGTCATGGCTTTCTTGCCCAGTGTTAGAGCCCCAGCACCTAGCACAGCATCTGGCACATGGCAGGCCTTCAGTAAATACGTGCTGAATAAATAAATGAAAGGGAAAGAGCATCGGGGACTGTCTTAGGCAGTGGAGATGCTGTGGTGGATGAGACACAGTTCTCCCCAGGGAGGTTACAAAGCATTCAGGGAACAGACAAGGAGACAATTACAAGAGATTATGGTGAGGTCATCCCTGGTGCTGAGGAAACACTCCAGAGAGGCACCTGGGGCAATCAGGGAGGGCTTCCCAAAGGTGGCATCTGAGCTGAGCCAACAAAATGCTTTTGATGTAAAGGAACTGGAAAAACTTCAGCCTGGTTGACATGTTGAGTGAGAGGTAACAGAGCAGAAGAATGAGGCTGGAGAGAAAGGCAGATTCTAGATCCTGAGGAGTCTAATGCTCTGTGCTAAGAGGCAGTGGGGAGCCCCAGCAGAAGTGAAAGCAGAGGATCAGCATGATCAGACTTGTGGTTTGGGAGGATAGCCCTCCTTGGTGGAACTGCAGAGGACACGCCAGGAACTGGTAGGACTGGAGGCTGAGAGAGCAGAGAGGGGGCTGTTGCAGCAATTCCAGTGGGAAGCAGCCATACATGAACCCAGGCATGGTCACGGGGAGGGAGAGAAGAGATTGCTTGGAGACCTATAGAGGAGATTAAAAAAAAAAAAGCAACAAAAAAAAAAAAACAAATCTGTTTCCATCAAGTTGATCCCGACTCATAGTGATCCTATAGGACAGAGTAGAACTGTCCCATAGGGTTTCCAAGGAGCAGCTGGTGGATTTGAACTGCCGAACTTTTGGTTAGCAGCCGAGCTCTTACCCACTGCACTGCCAGGGCTCCATAAAGGAGACAGCACATAGAAATTCATGTGTCAATGGATGTGGGATGAGGGAGAAACTGGGGTGAGATCCAGGTTTCTAGGCCCAACATGGTGAGGACGGTAGCGTCACCTACTGACATGGAGACCTCAGAAGAAGGAGCAGACAAGGGAATGAGGGCATTCCAGGCAGAGGGAACAGCATGTGCAAAGGCAGAGAGGCATAAACGCAGACCAGGTGTTCGGGGAACCAGGAGAGATTCCGTCATCCTCCGTCTCAGCTCTCTCGATGGTGCCCTTGGCCCTGCCCTCTCCTGAGCTCAGCCGCCTCTGGCATGGGTCAGACAGCCTGGATGACCTATGAACTCCTCCTCTGCCTGGGTAGCACCGGCATGAGCCTCACCTGCTGATCCCTGCATCGTCCCCACGGCCACAACAGTGCTCTGCACCAGGGTCACCACGGTCCCTGGGGTTGTCCATGGGGTCTATGGAGAGGCACCCCCGGTGCCCAGTGGGTGCCTCTGCCTTCCCCAGCACCTGCTGTAGATCTCACCTCTGTGGCCACATTAAAACACACGTGTTTCTTTCTCTGATGGTTCCGCCTGATGCTCCTTCACAACTCTCATCGGAGGTAAGACTAGGAATCTGCGTATTTGCAAGTCCGAGAGGCAGTGCAAGTAACAAACTGGTACCTGGGAGCCAAATAACCCCTGGAGGGTTTCCGTGTTTGACACAATGCTCTGTCTAACCTTTTGAACCTCAATGACTTTAGGTGAGGCATTGTCCCTTTCCCGAGTGCCACACTACTCCCTAATACCTCAGACCCCCGTTCCACTCATCTATGCACCTGCCTAGCCCCTGAAGAGAGGAGGTGCGTGCAGTTCGAGCCACACGGATCTGGGTTTGGATCCTGGCTCTGGAGTTACTTTCCCTCTCTAAACCTCAGTGTCTTCATCCATGAGAGAAGGATGATAATACCTTGGAAGAGTTGGTCTGAATGATAAATGGGCTAAGTGCTGATTGTCATTTAGGATTAAAATTGAGATGTCTGCCATCACCTCAAAGGACAGAATTGGGATGACGTTAGGATAAAGGGGTGCAAGTTACAGGGAGACTGATTTGGCTCAGTATAAAAGAATCCTTTGTAGTGATTAATACACTGCAAATGGGAAGTAGTGTGCCCACCATCATGAGAGGCATTCAAACAAAGAATGCTGGGGAGGGGTTGACGTATTACAGCAGGGATAACAAGATAACTCGGACATTCTGTAATCCCATGGCATACGGTTCTCTCTTCCTCCCCATGGATTGCAGATAAGGCTAACTTCGCAAAGCATCCACCCGTGGCTGTCCTGCCTCTCGGAACAGGAAATGACCTTGCCCGCTGTCTCCGCTGGGGAGGAGGTGAGTGCATGCTCTCAGCTCTATTCTGGGGACAGGCAGTTCAGTTTACAGCTGCTCGACAGAGCGAGGCTTAACGGACCCTTCCGTGGCGCATTCCAGAGAGCGATGCTCAAGTCTGGAGTCACATCTGCTCCATGGTCCTCTCCCTGCCCTCCATCCCACCCCAAGGCTGGGATAGGAACCCCTCTTCTGTGCTCCCAACTTACCACCATCCCCATACTTACTGTCATCCTGAAAACATCAGCATAGAGCCTGCCTCCCCCAGTGGAAAGCAGGAATTTGAGGGTAGTGACCAGCCTCACGGGTCTCTTCCCCAGCGCACAGCTGTTAGGGCCTTTCTTAGCCAAGTGTTTTCTGCATGAAACTGTTGCTGTTGTTAGATGCCGCAGAGTCAGTTCTGATTCACAGCAACTCTGCACACAACAGAACGAAACACTGCCGGGCCCTGCGCCATCCTCATAACCATTGTTATGCTGGAGCCCGTTGTTGCAGCCACTGTGTCA